GCTCGCGCGTATATGTGTTTGTGTGTGTGTGTGTGTGTGTGTGTGTGTGTGTGTGTGTGTGTGTGTGTGTGTGTGTGTGTGTCGCGATCGTTATTTGTGTGTGTGAGCGTGTGAATGTTTTTCAGTGTCCCTCTGTTATTTTGAACTTCGTCTCCGTTTCTCTCTTTCACGAAAAGGTGTGTTTTTGATTTCCAAGTGCCAAGTGATATATCGAAAACGTCCATCCCTCTGCAGCAACGCCTAGGCTAGGCCTACCGGAAAGACAGTATGCGGTAGACGTTGGTCTGTTGGGATTCTGTATCTCACTCGGCATAAGTTGCCGCATACTTAACGATATATATCATGTCGATGCGAATGTGTAAAAGTAAGGCATTAACATTTACAACAAATCGCCCCTCCCCCCCTCATGGAACGTTTGTTCACGGCACAGAATTCTACAATTTTTCTGTTATCCCAGTGTAGAATTCTGTGGTTTAGGGTGAACGCAAAATTTGTTGGCCTAGATCTAGATCTAGGCTATTATAACGGTGAACGTGCAACGGGTGAGAATAGCCAAAAGACTCGTCTGCACTATTCTCACCCCGTGTGAGAATAGAGGTGGCCAATATTTTAGCCAATCAGAAGCCAGTGTAGATCTAGTGTGCTTTTCGTTAGCTCCATGTCTCTCAATTAGACCATCAGTATCAGTAGCCTAGAATCTATAAGACAATCCTAGATCTAGTCTCATCAGATCATCATCGATCATGTCATGTCTCAAACTGGAACTTGAACTGGAACCCGAGAAACTTTCAAGTCTTACTCTTCTACTCTGACTTAGCCTAGATTTAGATCTAGAATCTAGATCTAGAATATTTCTTGGCATTTAAAAGATGAAAAACAACAACAACAAACGTCACTCTCTCATTAGATTATTATAACTGTTATGTCAAGTCAATTAGTTTTAATGAAAAGAAAACGTTAAAAAAATTAAAATTAAAATGGAAGAGGCAGAGAAAGTGAGGAGAGGTGGATACGGTACCTGCAGCGAAATGAAGAGGGGTGGATTTTCTGCCGGCAGTATCCTTTGCGTTCACATTTTGGGGGGTGATCAATTTTTTAACCTTTCCAAGATCACCATTTCGACAAGCTTCAAACAATTCTCTTCCTGGATCGTTTTGAGAGGGAGCACTGCTTTCAGTTGTCAGTGCTGCCCGACGACCCGTCGCCATTTTTCTCCAATCATAACATCTCGCAAACAGCCAACTTTTCAAATGTGATAATGCGAGATGGGAGAAGGAAAATAACGTCCAATGCGGCTTTCTGTTGCGGTCCACCGGAATATGACCCATACTAAGGCGGCTCAGATGAGGCTCAGACTAGGGTTCCGGCCTTGCGTTGTTCTCGTATTCATTTGGGGAGCTTTTGAAAACTTTAAGTTTAGTATTTTTTTGGTCTGTTCACAAAATAAGAGGGAAAATATCTCAGGCCACGAAGGAAAGAACAGTGTTTTTTAGTTACGTTATTTGTTGTTTTATTTGGGTTGTTTCTGTTGTCCGTTGTTGCTGTTGAAGTGGTGGTCGTGGTTTTGCAGGTTTGGGGTCTTTTGGTTTAATTATTCTTTTTTTTTTTCTTTCTCTACACTTACAGTCTACTATGGGTATCTTCCACAGTCATAATTAAAAAAAGAAAACAAAAGAAGTAAGACCGTAACACCCCC